CATTATATTCTGTATAAACTAAAAAGGACACAGCTCAAAGTAGAATTGAGTAAATAAACATCTACACATTTAAAAACATTTTAGTAATTAATTATAACTTTTAGAATATATTTTTTTCTGTCAACTTTCATTTAACACTCCAGTCCAGTTGGTGGCAGTAATGCGCTTTCATAGTCGGTCAAGCAGCCGCCATTAAACTCCAGAGGAAGATTTGCACCCTCGCTAACGGGTGCTACTGCGAGACCCAACATGAATGAAAATGCCCGTGCGTTGTGTGAAATGGTGGAAAAAGTCCTATTTCACGGAGTTACTTTTTCAGTATCGTTTTGATATCAAGCAATGTCCCGGCGGAAAACAACAGATGACACCGCGGCGGTCCAACAGGCCGAACTCACGGTAAGAAAGCTTTAATGAATAGCGAGCACGTGCAGCGAGGCTAGTTGCTTTGTTTGTTTCTTACAGAAAGCGGTCTGTCGTTTTCTTAATCCCAAAACAAGTGTAGGGTGAGATTTCGTATTGTATTTGTTATTATATGTGATGTTCTGAACTCTTAAAAATACTCGCATCTTCTTTTATTTTTTTTTCAGACCTGAAAAATGGCCAAGCCTAAACAGCCAGGCCTCAGACCACGGTGCCGAGGCGCTCTGACGGAGTCCACCAGGACGAAGAGAAATTCAGTAAGTTATGATTTCACATTTAGTCAATAGTGAACACTCGCATATTTGTAAGGAAAACTGATCTTCCGGTTATTTTATTTATTTTGTTATAACGCAGTACAGCAAGGCAGAGTGTGGAAAGCAGTAGAGATCGACAAAATGGCGGACGGAGGACGGATATGAGGACGACGTCATGAAGCCGGTATGCATTACAGTCACTGCGTTGATTCCCGACTGTATAATGGTTGGTTGAGAATAATTTTAACTTATTTACTTATGTATTTTTGAGAAAACAATTTATTTGCTACAATATTTTTTTAATTTTACATTTATTTCCACAGACACTCCACAGAATGGGAGTCACATTTGTGTTAATCAGACTCTTCAGGAACGTCCTGATGTCCGTGACAAGGACAGAGAAGCAACTGTGTGTGAGTATCTACTATTTTAGAATGTTGATATTTTATGCGTCAATATTGTTTATGTACATAATGTAATTATGCTATGTATTGTATGTATTGACAATGCACAAAAATGTTTTCCAGCTGCATCCAGGACCTACTGCCAGTC